CACGGGTCAGCGTGAGCGCACTGACTGGTCTGCGGCTATGCAACCCTATACACAACAGACTGCAATGCCCATTTGTTTCTGCTATCAACACATCAACTTCAGGACCAACATGTTTATTTTCTGTCTAATATATCCCACTGACTTTCAGATGCCATTGTAACTAGATAATCAATGTTGTTCACTTATCCTGTCAGTATTCATAAGGTATGGCTGATCAGCATATATATTATGGACCAGATATGAACTTTTTCTCTTTTGAAATATCAGTGGGCTGAAATGTGTCTCATTTTTATTTGTCTTTTTCTAGATTAATAGAGCAGTGACAAAGACCTTAGTGGGCCCAGACACTGGTGAGTTACTCACAATTATCAGACAGTACAGTCACTGCCATTTTGTGTTCCTTTTCATTTCTCCAATTTTAATTATTCATTTCCATTTTGGTTTCTTAGTGAATACACTGTGCAAAGTATTAAGGTGCTTTGGATATTGCTAACCAATAAAGATATATTTTTAAAAAACTATGCTTGTAACTTTGCAGCTAAAGGATTTGTACAATGCACAATAAACCCATAACGCAGTAATATAAAAAATTAATCATTACTGGAGTTATTGCTGGTGTCTGAGAAAGATTTCTATGATCACTGAGGTGTTTCCATTACTAATCTGTCAGTGAAGAAGGAAGAATAGTTTATGCTCTGTTTGAGTTGTAAAAAAGGTAGAAAAATGTATCATGCATCACATATCATTTCTATTTTTTAATCATCAAGATGATTAAAAGGTTCATTAGGGTGCTGGATAAATCTGCTGGTATGGGAGAAAAGCTTTACGGGGATACTATATAAATTTTCATATTAACCTGGAAGGATTATGGTGTAGATCATTTAATTGTTGTATAATAATGGTGGAATCCCCCTCAGTTGCCAGCAGCAGACAGAGTGACTGAAAAACTGACAGGCAGACCTGATCAGACCCTTTGTGTGCAAGGGGCCTAAGCTTAATATGATGCAATGTAGTCATAGGCCCAGTGAATTCTAATGGTTCCCCTGTGGCAGGATTTTGCTACCACACCTAAAGTGTATTTCCACTTTTGCAGCCAAACTGGATTAGTACCTACTTTATATTTGTTACATGCTCCCATTCACATAGCATAACCTAAAAAAAAAAAAAAATTCTGCTTACCATTTTGGATGAGTTTTTCTGATAACTCCAACCCTGTAAAATCCTATCTAGTTCTCTTTGTTTATGAGGGGGCTGAGGAGCCGTAGAAGATTCCATTACCCAGAAATAGCAGGAGTCTATGCCTTGTTAAAATATTGAACATATGAATCATTTTTGGGGTTTGGCTATTGTTGTTTTATTTCTTTCATCCTGATCCCCTTAGAGATGCATTACTAATGAACCTGTGTGTCTTGCAATGTCTGTGGATTACTCTGTGGCCATTCTGTCATATGTACATATGGCATTGCTTTCTCTATTATTGGGAATGTCTTTGTACATTATGTAATGTGGGCATTGTTGTGATTTTGGACTCCTCTGTTGTGCCCGGGGCGCATCCTGGTCATCATGGTGGGGGCCCCTTTGTGCAGTCGGGTGTGTGGCCGGTAGGCCGCAGCTGATCCCTTGGGTTGGCTGCCCCAGCCCCCTTTGTGACCCCAGTAGCCCTGGGGGTTGGTGGTTTGTCCCGTCTGGTTCACCCTCGGATAGGGGAGTATCGGGTCCCTGCGGACCCTTCCCCTCGGTCTGCATGTGCATGGGTGTTCCCGTGGCACTGTGTAAGGGAATCCCGGTGAGACGACCGGCGAATAGAAGTGCGCATGTGCAGATCTCATTATCACTATAATATCAATGTGCAGCGCTAATAGAAATGTGTGTTATAATCAATAATGACCAGTGTGATTGTTAAAAAAGAAAGGAAACATCATAAAAAGAAATAGGGAATTCTGAATACTCCAATGAAGAAACAAAATGGACGGTATAACAAATAACAAATGAAAATATTTAAGTCCTCTAAATATCATAATAGTCCCAAAAATAGTGATGTGATCAAATCAACAAAATGCAGTGACTTCTGTGACTGCACCTCCACCATAATGTACTCACCAGAAGTAAGTAGCAAGCAAGCCCAGAGCAGAATGACACTAAGGGGTGTCCCTGCTTGTCCCTCCTGCCGGTGACCCGGTTGAAGGTGGGACCTCTCTAGAAGCCAGTGATACACCAAATGAACAATCAAAAGTAGAGTAGCCAAGTCTCCATCTCCAGCCCATGGTGAACCAAGGAAAGGGATTCCTCCTAGAGGGCAAGCTCATAGACAGAGCCCGGAGACAGTATCATCTAAAAGGGAGGAGCTTATGTGCTGACGTCACGCCGCCGTGTCAGCGTGATGGTCCAGTGGCCATCTTTGTAAGTGCTCTTTATCCATTGATGATTTTATGCTCCACGTGGTTGCTATCTTTTTAATAAAACCTACTACACTATATGGGTTTTCTCTAATTTGACTGCAAAAGCAGAAATGCACTTTAATGTATTTCTTGAAAGTTGGGAAATGCTACATCCCATTTGATTCCTCCAATTGATCAATCCCATGATTAACTAAAGGCAATCATACATTATACTGAGCTTCACGGTTGCATTGCTCACTTTGTGGCTATTTCCTTTTTTATTTAAAATATAGATTTATCTTGAAAAAAAATCTCCACTGTTGTTAACAACTGATATACAGTATAATAGAATTGCGAAGCAGTTGTAAACTAAAGTTGTATAACATTTTCACAAACTTTTTCAAAAACTTTCTTTAACCTCCCTGGAGGTATTCCTGAGTGTAGCTCGGGGTAAAGTTTCAGCACCACAAGTGGTAACCCCGAGCTACACTCAGGAATACCCTGCAGCGTTGCTCGGGATCCCTCAATCACTTACCTTGTCCTGCGCTCCCGCGATGTCCCCCCTGCAGCGTCCGGCCATCTCCTCCGGCTGATGCCGGCATCCATCTTCCGGGTTTCGTTCCCTGCGACATCGGGACATAACCGGCAGGAAATTTTAACATTTTAAAAAGTGACATTCACTAATACACTAAAATCACATAGTAAACATTACTGTATCAAACCATTTCACATACATTTTGTCCCGAGTGCTTTGTCCTGTGCCCTGCCTGCATTGTTACTGTTCTTTCTGCCTGGAAACTGAGAAAAGTCCATGGCATCCAAAAAGCGTCCCTTTAGGTCAAAAGCGGTTTTAGACCAGCTGGAGAACAGCGATAGTAAATTAGAACCACTTGCAGAATTGAGTGATAATGATTCGTGGGGAAATTTGTCATCAGACACTGAAAACGATTTTGCGACTAAGATCAGTAATGTGCGAACTTGGCGCTATATTTCAAATTTCAGTGTTTTTGGTTTGATTACATTATTGAATTAAATTTATTATTATTATATTATTATTTTTTATGCTTATATATTAAATTATAATTTATGATTTTGTGTTTCAAATTGTATCATACCCGGGATGTTTACTAGACTCTTGTTTGGACAGATTTCAGTGAGTTATTCCAAAAAATTACAGGCCTACAATAAAAAAAACTACATATTTCCATGCAAAAAAATGTACCGCTTTAAGCACAGAAATATGGACATAATCATACCGCTAGGGAGGATAACCGCTTGAATACCGGGCACTTTTACACCCTTCCTGCCCGGACAATTTTCATCTTTCAGAGCTCTCACACTTTAAATGACAATTGCACAGTCATGCAATGCTTTACCCAAAGTAATTTTAATTATTTCATTCACACAAGTAGAGCTTCATTTCTTTGGTTTATCCATATCAGTATTTATTATTAGTCTATAGGAAAGTTTTAGAGTGTACACATTATTGTACATATCTGAAAATTGATCAATCCTGAAGTACTGAGGCCAAACTAATTTCAGTACAGGATTTCAGGACAGTACAGAAATCCCCCAAATGACCCCTTTTTTCAAAGTAGACAGCCCGAGGTATTTAGGAAGAGGTATGGCGAGTTTTTTGATGTTGTAATTTTTTTTGTCATCATTTTTTAGAAAATGAAGAAATGTAAAAAAATGTTTTCACATTTTCACACTGGTGTTGTTACCAGTGCAGTACAGTATCATCACATAACTGGTGCTGCGGTGTTCAGGGAAACTGATTGGTGACAGTACAAAAAAAAAAAAAATTTAATTTTGTAATTATTTTTTCTATTTTTTATTACATTTATTTTCTTTTTTAAGATTTCTTTTTCATAATACACTGTGACCAGAGTAGTATAATGTTACCAAAGTAACATTGTACTACTTTGGGGAAGTGATCAGTATTTTTTTTTTTATACATACACCTTATGATTGCTTATAGCAAAGAGCAACCTGAATCCTCCTCTTCTCAGGTCCCCCACCAGTGCTCCTGGCTTCTCCCTCCTGTTGGGTGCCTCCACAGCAAGCAGCTTGCTATTGGGGCACCCGAGCATGCGCAATCCTGAGCCTCTGCTCCATGTGTCCATTCACACACAGAGCCGTCGCTTGGCCCCAGTCCCTCTCTCTTCTCTGGCAGTGATTGACAACAGCGGGAGCCACTGCTGTCAAAGCCAATGAGGAGAGGGAGTCCTGGGACAGCCAAGACTCCAGTTCACATTGCTGGATCGAGAGTGGGCTTAGGTGAGTATTAGAGGTGGCTGGGGAACTGCTGCACAGAGAAGGTTTTTTACCTTCATGCGTAAAAAACCTTGAGCCTTTACAACCACTTTAGCCACTTGCCTACTGGGCACTTTTACCCCCTTCTTGCCCAGGCCAATTTTCAGCTTTCAGTGCTGTCATACTTTAAATAACAATTGTGCGGTCATGCAAACACTGTACCCAAACAAAATTGTTATCATTTTTTTGAGATAGATAGAGCTTTCTTTTGGTGGTATTTAATCACCACTGGGGTTTTTCTTTTTTGCTAAACAAATTTAAAAACTGAAAATTTAAAAAAAAAAAAAGTTTTTTCTTATTTTGTGGTAGAAAATTTTGTAGATAAGTCATTTTTCTCCTTCACTGATGTTCTCTAAGGAGGCTGCAGTGATGGGCACTGATAGGCAGCACTGATGAGGAGGCACTGGTAGGTGGCACTGATGGGCATTGACAGGCATCACTGATGGGCACTGAAAGGCAGCACTCATATATGGCACTGATAGGTGGCACTGAAGGGCAATGATAGGCAGCACTGACTGGCACTGATAGGCGGCACTAACTGACACTGATAGGTGGCACTGAAAGGCAGCTCTGATATGTGGCATTGATGTGCACTGATGGGCACTGGTATGTGGGCACAGAGAGGTGGCACTGATGGAGATACACTGATCATCAGGGCACTGATCATCAGTGCCCTGATGATTAGTGTAGATGTCCCCTCTGAGGAATGCCGATTACCGGCTCTCCTCTCCTCACGAGCTATCAGCGGGAGGAGAGGACTGCCGATAACCGGAATTTCCTATTTCTATGTGATCAGCTGTGATTGGACACAATTTCACAGCTCTCAATGTGAAGAAACCTTTGTTTGGAGATTAAATTTCTTTTCCTCCAGACGTAAAGAGTGCCCACTTGTCCTCTGTGATGACCTCAGGGTGAATAGTTCACTATATGAACCACTGATGTATTTATACATGGAGATCATATCCCCCCTTAATCTCCTCTTCTCAAGAGAGAATCAATTCAGTTCCTCTAATCTTTCCTCATAGCTGAGCTCCTCCATGTCTCTTATCAGTTTGGTTGCCCTTCTCTGTACTCAGTACAGAGTTCTCCAATGTTCTTTTTGTGAATTGGTGCCCAAAACTGAACTGCATATTCCAGATGAGGTCTTACTAATGATTTGTACAGGGGTAGTATATCTCTCTCTCTGGAGTCTATACCTCTTTTAATGCAAGAGAGGATTTTGCTTGCTTTAGAAACCGCAGCTTGGCATTGCATGCCATTATTAAGCTTGTGTGATCTACCAGAACCCCCAGATCCTTCACCACCATTGATTCCTCCAGTTGTACTCCCCCTAGTATGTATGATGCATGCATATTGTTATCCCCGAGGTGCATCACCTTGCATTTATCAACATTAAACCTCATTTGCCACATAGTTGCCCAATTAAACAGTGCATTGAGGTCGGCTTGTAAGTTGAAGACATCCTCTAAGGACGTTATTCCACTGCACAGCTTGGTCTCGTTCTGCAAAGACTGAAATTATATTTTTAAACCCAGACCCTATATCGTTTATAAATATATTAAAATGTAGGGGTCCAAACACTGAACCTTGGGGTACACCACTGACAACCCTAGACCATTCAGAGTATGAATCATTAACCACTACTCTCTGAATACGATCTTTTAGCCAGTTTTCTATCCATTTACATACAGATTTTTCCAAGCCTGTAGACTTTACCTTACACATTAGCTGTGTGTGGGGAACTGTATCAAACGCTTTTGCAAAATCCAAGTATACCACGTCCACTGCCACCCCTCTGTCCAAGGTTTTGCTCACCTCCTCATAAAAAGAAATCAGATTTATTTGACAACTTCTGTCTTTCAAGAATCCATGCTGTCTGTTGCTTAAAATGTTTTTTTTCCAGGAAGAACTCATCTATGTGGTCTTTTATTAAACTCTCTAGTATTTTCCCAACTATAGAATTTAAACTAACAGGTCTATAATTACTTGGTAAAGATTTTGACCCCTTTTTAAATATTGGCACCACATTGGCCTTACGCCAATCCAGTGGTACTATGCCAGTCATTAAAGGGTCCCTAAAAATTAGAAAAAATGGCTTTGAAATGACAGAGCTCAATTCTTTAAGGACCCGTGGGTGTATGCCATCCAGTCCAGGTGCTTTATTCACCTTTATTCTGTCTAAATATTTTTAGATCATATCAATTGTGAGCCAATGTGGATCATCTGGAGCTGTGTCAATACCATGCCCATTGTGGACAAGAGCCCCCCCCATGCTCCTTTGTATACACAGAGCTGAAGAAGGTATTTAATAAATTTGCCTTCTCTTTGTCCCCAGTCACCCACTCTAGATTATTTTGTAAAGGGCCTACATGCTCGGACCAGACCTTTTTACTATTAATATATCTGAAGAATGTTTGGGGTTGGTCCTGCTATCTTTTGCAATCTGTCGTTCGTTTTAAATTTTTGCAGCCTTTATTTCCTTTTTGCAAATTCTGTTATATTCTTTGTATTGTTTAACCTCCCTGTTGGTAATCCCGAGTGTTGCTCGGGGTTAACTTTCAGTACCAAAAGCGGTAACTACACTCGGGATTACCCTGCAGCGTTGCTCAGGGATTCCCTGTTTCACTTACCTTGTCCTGTGGTCCTGCGATGTCCCCCCTGCAGCGTCCCTGTCCATCTCCTCCAGCCGATGCTGGCATCTGTCTTCCGGGTTCTGGTCCCTGCTAGCGTGGGGACATACGGGACGTATGGGGGCCGGATCTAGTAGGAAATTTAAAAATGTTATGAAGTGATATTCTCTAAATACACTAAAATCACATAGTAAAACATTACTGTATCAAACCATTTCACATACATTTTGTCCCTAGTGCTTTGTCCTGTGCCCTGCCTACATTTTTACTGTTCTTTCTGCCTTGAAGCTGAGAAAAGTCCATGGCATCCAAAAAGCGTCACTTTATATCAAAAGCAGTTTTAGACCAGTTAGAAAACAACGATAGTAAATTAGAACCACTTGCAGAATTGAGTGATAATGATTCGTGGGGAAATTCGTCATCAGACACTTTTTGCGACTTTGCTCAGTGATGTGCGAACTTGGCGCTATATTTCAAATTTCAGTGTTTTTGGTTTGAATATATTATTGACTTAAATTTATTATATTATTATTTTTTTATGATTATTTATTATATTATAATTTGTGATTTTGTGTTTCAAATTTTATCATACCCGGGATGTTTACTAGACTCTTGTTCAGACAGATTTCAATGAGTATTATATAAACATTAATTTTATTATATTTTTAGTTATATGGAGGGGTTTAGCGGCAATTTCTTTTGCAATTGTGTACATGTTCATAGGTTTAATAATGATTTTATAAATATCATCCAGGTTTTATATTATTGTATATCTACATGTATAGTATGTCGGGATAAAAGCCTTTGTAAGTACGGTACTTAGTGCCGGCGGAATTGGGTGACTGAATGCAGAGTATAATTGGGTTTCAGCTATATAAAATACAGCTGTAATAGACCCCGGGAATATGGCCTCGTGCATGCGGACTTCATTTAAATGGTGCCTGTGAGTCCTATATAAAGCCAATGAAAGGAGTGGTGTCCAATCATTTCCCCCTGATGAAGCCACATGACCCGGTGGTGTAACGCGTAGGGGAGGGGCTCTGACGTCACCACATTCATTCGGATTGTCACGGCAAGTACAGGAAGTGTGCAGAGCACACAAGGAGGATTTTAACAAAGGCGCATTTTAATTGTTTATTATGTGAGAGTGGGATTATTTGTTTTACCAATAAAGTATTTTAAGGGATAAGGCACTATTTTTTGCTTTCTTTCTTGGCATTATGTACGTGGAGTCCTGGAGGGGATACAAGGAGGTATAGAAGGAGAGATCCATCCATCCAACCTTAACCTTCATATTGAGCAGCATATTGGAGAGACACCAGGTAGATAATTGGTATATTGCAACGTGGAGCCACCTGAGAGAGCTCGGGAACGGGAGTACTTGCATCTGTCCTTGTAGGACAAAAAGCTATTTTAGCCTAATGCACATTAGGCTATAAAGGAGGTGAGCGCATAATAGAGAAGTACGCATCCTATATTCATCCATTTGTTGGAATAAGTCCTTCATATTTAAGGAGGACTCTGTATTATTTATGGACACTGTTTGATGGGACTTTTTTTTATTTTATTTTTTATTATTTAGTTTTTATTATATTAGATTGGGGTAATATATTGATTTGGTCACCATTACTACTAATTTTACTAATGTTGATATTATAGATATTTCACTGTTTCAAGTCACAGATGTATGGTTTCACATATTATTATTTATGGTTTAATTTGTTAATTAGCATGGGAACGCTGCACTATTGTTTGTATATTTATATTGCATTATTAAGCACTGGTTATGAGTTGGTGTAAGGTGCTAGCGAACCATTTGTGCATATATATATTTTTTTTTATTTATTGATTGTTTTATGACACTATTGAATTTCACCATATTAGCTCACAAGCAATATTGGCACTTGATAGATTTCAATGAGTTATTCCTAAAAATTACAGGCCTACAATAAAAAAATGACATATTTCCATGCAAAAAAATGTATCGCTTTGAGCACAGAAATATTGACATAATCAGACCGTTAGGGAGGTTAAACAAGATACTGTTCCTTCAATTTTATATTTAATAAAAGCTCTTTTCATATTATCTATAGCTTTTTTAATTTTGGCCGTAAGCCACATAGGTTTGATTTTTAGCTTTTTAAACTTGTTGTCCATGGGAATATATTTTGCAGTGTATTCACATACAGTCTTTTTGAAGAACTCCCATTTCTATGTTGTGTTCATTGATGCCAATATTCCCTCCCAGTCTGAGTCTTGGAGAGAAGCTCTCAGCCTTGGAAAATTAACTCTCTTAAAATTGAGCATTTTTATTTTTCCTGTATGTGCTTGCTGTTTACAGCTAACAATAAATTAAATCATGTTACAGTCACTGCTACCCAGATGTTCTTTTATATGGACATTCGTAATAAGCTCAGCATGGTTTGAGATTACCAGGTCCAGCAGAGCATCATTCCTAGTTGGGGCCTCTATGAACTGTACCATAAAATTGTCCGGTAGTAGGTTTAAAAATGTTTGCCCTTTAAATGTTCCTGCAGTACCATTACTCCAGTTTCTGGGTAGTTAAAGTCCCCATTGTCACTGTCCCAGCCCTTGCAGCCCTTTCGATCTGTGCAAGGAGCTGAGTCTCCACCTCCTCATCAACACTGGGAGGCCTATAACAAACTCCAATGATTACCTTTGTAGTACGCACCCCCATGTGCAGTTCCACCCATAATACTTCAGCCTCATCACACTCTCCATCAACTAGGTCCTCTTTCACACTCACTCTGCGATCACTTCTCACATAGAGACAGACACTACCACCTTTCCTATTTACCCTTTCTCTACCAAAAGAAAACACAGACAGGAATATTAATGGCCCAGTCATGTGAAGAATGAAGCCAAGATTCAGCAATACCAATTAAATCATAGTTTTCTTCATGCACCAAAGCTTCCAACTCACCTATTTTTCTTGGCAGACTTCTGGCATTGGTGAACAGACACTTTAATTCATTGACACCTTGTGCACATGTATTTTGTATATTTTTTATTTTCATACAAATGGTACCAATTCCACTGGTTGTTTTTTAACATGGGAACCTTCTTATCATCTTCCATAGCCTTACCCCCATCTTTCCCCATTCCACCCACCAATAAGTACTGATGGGAGACCCCTGTCTGATCTGTCTACCCCGTT